CTGAAAAAAGTGACTTATGACAGTTTTTCACACTTACAACCATTGCAGCATCCCCTTGGTCATGTGATCAAAATTCAGATCCTTGGCAACTGGTTTATATTTACGACAGATGCAGTGTCCCAGGATCATATGATCAGCTTTTGCAACCTTCTGACAAGCAAAGTCAATGGGGAAGCCAAATTCACTTAACAACCGTGTTGCTTAATGGAACAACAACAATAATGCACTTAACAATTGTAGAAGGAAAGGTCATAAAATGGGGCAAAATTCACTTGACAAATGTCTCACTTAGCAATATAAATTTTGGACTCAATTGTAGTCGTAAATCAAGGACTACCTGTATACAAAAATGATTCCATTTCCCAAGTATGTCAATATGAATTTTCTAAAGATGCATTCATCCTGGAATGAAAACTCTCTTTGCAGCATTCCCAATTTCCTGTATCACAATATATAATGCAAAATTCCTGAGGCAGGACTGCAGAGAGACTTTAGCCAGGTCACACAGTTCTTCCAAGAATATTTGAAAATGATTATGTGAAATGCAAAACATCAGTTCTAGCTTTTGATAAGCTTTAACCTTCAGAGGAAATACTAGAAAACAACATGTGAGTGAGTTGATCACAATTTTGCTCCAGTAAACCCATTTTATTTTTCATTCATTCATTTTGCCTGAAACGATATAGTTGGCAAGAACAGGCAAGCGGGAACAGAATGTGATTACATCTTCTACTATCTTAGAAAAGAGAACATCCTGTATGCTGGATGATGAAACTCCAAGCCCTCTTTGTTGCATTCTAATGTAATCAACACCTCTTTCACTCCCGTTATGTCTTCCGCCCTCTCTATCCTTTCATAAGTCTGGCTGCCTCTCTCCTCACCAGTGGATCATGGCTTCCTCTACAGTACCAGTACTAAACTGAATAGAAAGAAGGATAATCTCCTTTACTCTTCCTGCCTGCTTTTCAATTTCAAGAACAACTGTCCTTTTCCTTCCCTCTGCAAAGTGAAACATATAACCTCATACAGTCAATTTTGCCTCTTTCCTTCTTATCTAGCTGTATTTGAGTGTAATTTCTTTGAAGCACCTTCAACAGTTAAGTACTGAATTGGTAACATACTGTACTTTTTAAAAACAAAATAATAAAACTCAATTTCCGTAAATCCTTTGATTTCATCTCTGTTGCAGACCTAACATCTTATATGAACGCTCCTTCTTTGAGCAAAATGATCCAAAGTTACTTGCTTTTGGTTCTTTTTCTACAGGGAACATTTTACTTATGATGTCAACTATGTAGCCTGGCATAACCTGAATTAAAGTTGCAGAATTCAAGTTGCTATGGCTAATTATTTCTCTAGCACAGCAATACTTGTCTTTCTAGAAATCATACCACTAAAAGTAAATTATGTGATTATGTCATGGGTGCAGGTTTATAAAATTAGCAGCAGCAAAAACAGCATTTATCTGATTATGTCACCAAAACAATTTTTTCAGCTGTCAGAGTACGCAAATTTCAAAAAGTTTGTCCCACTTCTAGAAAACATTTGTTCATCATTACCCTAGAACTTTTAATTAATTCTTATCCTTCTCAGCCTCAGTCAAGTAAATAAATTTTATAAATTAATATTATGTGTGCTATCAATGCTAAAGATGTTGGGGGAAAATACAAATTCTCATTTCTTCCTTTCCCAATAAATTTATGCAATAAAAATGCTACTGGTAATTTGGCTTCGAAATATTTGAATGCATTATGAGGCCATTTCTATAGCTGATAAGATGTTCCACAGTTTAGTCTACAAATCCACAAGAAACATATTTAAAAAGGTCACTATTTCATATTATTATTGTTGTTCAAACTGCTTGCAAAATAAGCCAAATGTCAAATCCAAGCATTACATTAAAATAAATCAATCCCTTTTTACCTCGGAGAGCTGCTATACTTACAGAAATGTTGATCTCCATGAACAGATTAAAATATGTCATTATTCCCATAAGGGGAACAGATACATTTATGAAGGAATTTCTTTAAGTGTATACAGGTTGGTCCTCAACGTATGACCACAATCAGGCTCAAAATTTCCATTGCTAAGTGAGGCAGTTATTAAGTGAGTTTTGCCACATTTTACAGTCTTTTTTGCCACAGATAAGTGGATCACTACAATTGTTAAGTGAATCATGTGGCTGCTAAGTGAATCCCCTATTGACTTTGCTTTTCAGAAGCCAGCTGGGAAGGCTACAAATGGTAATTACATGTAAATGTCATAAATACAGCCAGTTGCCAAGTGCCCGAAATTTGATCATGAGATCATGCAACAATTTTAGGTGTGAAAAACGGTAATGTCACTTTTTTCAGTGCCTTTGTAACTTCAGTCACTAAACAAATAATTGTAAATTGAGGACTACCTGTACAAAGCAGATGTGCATAGCACATCCATATAAAGTTAGGATATTAAGAAAAATGAACTTACTTTCTAATTTTACAGGGCCTCTGAACAGTGTCACCTACATAAACAAAGTAGGACTTCCCCTAGAAGCCATTTTTATTTTTGTTTTACAATGATGGATTTAGTAATTTTTATACTAATTTAACTGGATAGGATGGCGAGCAAAGCTAATTATTGAATCTGCCTCCTGGTTACAGGCCAGTGCTATTTGAAAATGTACAGAATCTCACCTTTTCTTGTAACTTTTGATCTTGTCTGCCTTCTTTCAGATTCTAGAGAAAGAAAAAGAAATGGCTACCACTAAAACAACCAAAACCACTATGAATTTTATTAAAGCTGAAAACTGCAAGGGAATACCTGTTCAAATTCTCCTACTTATCTGCATCTCTTTGGAGGAATGCTAACCATTATCATATCACCATCAAATCCCAGGAAGAGGCATTGTAACTTCTTTATGTATTTATTTTGGTTCACTGAACAGCCAAACATATTCTGTATTAGGGCTCTTCCAGTTTTATTTCTTTTACCCAATAAACCAATCGCCTTATGCATCCATAGTGATGTTTAATCTTTATGAAAGATGCATCAGTAATTCTTGAAAATTTTATTCCTCACTCATACCATAGCCACCAGTTTGACATTCATTTTAAAAGCAATTAACTGTAAAGGAAAACACCTGTTTATGACAGATAGGTCTAAGTGTGCACTCTAAACTCTTTACAAAGAAGCAAACCCGGCAAAGGGCAAATTTCATTTATGTAATATATGGAATACATGGGACTATAAAGTTAAGAAGTTGGAACTGGGATGTAAAGATTGCTTCGTAATTGGCACACTGAAAGATAGCATTCAAACAATAGGGGGGGGGGTGATGACAGCTCTTGGCCTGGATGAAATCTTGATTGTTCATACTTGAAAAGAAATATATATACTTAAGTACTTAAAATTGATACTAACACCACTGATTTTTATAGGAAACAGGAGATGATAGAACTTTGGGAGAAAACAATTGTTTTGTTTTTATCACAGCTGACAACCAGTTGTTCCTCTGTACTTTAGAGCAGAGGTTCCCAACCTTTGGGGCACCAGGGACCGGTTGCTGGTATGCCGCGGCCTGGTACCGGTCCAGAGACAGGGGGTTGGGGACCCCTGCTTTAGAAGATAAGAGCTTGAAGACTTTGTCTCATGCTAACTGAGGTTGTAAATGAGATTGAAGTATTTTTAGAATGAAACAACCAAAACAGATCTTTTTGCCCCTTACTACTAGGGAACTGTATTACTCAAATTTTGTCAAGATTTGTGGCAAAAAGGAAAGGGGCCCAGTTTCATAGTTTCATACTGTTTTTAATTGGGATTAAAGGTGTGAAATTCTCTACTGTGCCATGACAAATTTATACTTGATTACTTTCAAGCTATTTCTATGGACGTCTATGGAGATTCTCA